TCCTCTACAATACATTTTGTATGAGGCATAAATAAATTCTTTTGATATTGAGATGCCCAGCTGGGGTGTCTCAGGCCTCAGCTTGTGTGACACAGCACCATGGCATCAACATGATGGCTGCCTCTGGATAAACATGTTAATTTAATATAATCATGAGCATAAACTGCAAAATAAATGAGTTAGCTTTGTATCTGCAATGGAAATCAACTAGGGTACACGAGAGCTTTTGCTTTGATGTTTTAACATATTTGTGTAATAGCTGTTTTGACGTTTGCCTGAGACATGCCTCCAGATTCTTCCTGTCATGTATTAGGAAGGTGAATGCAAAGTGTAACAGCTGCCTCTTTCTTTCTCCTCCTTCACTTGACTGTTAAGTCTTTCATCATGTATTAGCACAAGGAAAGTGACCTGAAAGATATATTACTTCAACTAAAGAAGTCATGTAAAAGCAATATGATGGAGTATGAGATAAAAGACTACAGGTATGGACAGAGGAACTATTCTAGTTACAGCCAAGCTGAATCAACATGTTATTGACACCATTTTCCCACAAACACAGAGTTGTTCATTCTCACCTTTATCTGCTCCGTTGAGGTCCCAGCCACTGGGTTTGGGTTTTGTCTCATTTCATTTTTATTAGATTGAGTTATGTAGGCTCTGAAACAGTTCTGAGAATTGACCCAACTTTATAAGAAAAGGTTTTTTTCAGGCTGGCTCAAATCTATCGATCAGAGATCAACCAGGCAAACAATTAAATGAATAGTACTGAGAAATGAAATCTCTACTGAGCTTGTGGTGTGGGTGGAAGAAGAGGATGAGCTGATAAAACATTGCCCTGAACCTGCTGCCGGCAGCACAGCTCATGTCACCATTCCATATGGTAAAAAGCATCAGCTAAAATACAGAAATGAGATGGAGATTACATTTATGGCACTCTTATTAGGCGTCATTGCCAAATGACTGAAAGGACTGATTAAATCAGTTTTAGGGCACCATAAAAAAATGCAAGCTCTTCTATCAATATGGGGTTTTCTCCCAAGCAGGAAGTTGAATCTGACTATTGTTAAATGAAGATTTTTATGAATTTGCTTTAGATATTTATCATCAGGCATTTTTTAGCTCCTGGTTTAGCCCCTCTACTGTATAGTCACATGGTTTCATACTTGTCAAGAAAAATCCTTCTCATTTAAAAAAATATCTGAAGAACTAACCCATTATTAGGGCTCTATGCTCTTCATCCTACTGCCTGCCTTCCATGTCTTGTTTGATCATTTTTTCTGTAGCATTCATAAATAATTGAAACTGTTGGTGATTTTCCTTAACTTATGACATATATCAAAGAGCTTAAGAGAATGGCAGAGATAAAGTAGCATAGTATAGCTTCTTATCTAAAGGAGAAATAAAAAAATCCAGTTTCTAGGACAAATTTTTCATTTTTATTACCTACTTCTTTTCCCTGCCTTCCTTCCTGTGTTTTTTGGTTCTTTTTAACCAGTACCCAGGCTAGGTCGTTCCTGCTTATAAGCAAGACAACACTTGGAATCTCCAGCAAACTTTGTATTTTGACATTTGTGGAAATATAAAGTGCTGGAAGGGCTTTTTGTTAAATATCTGCCGCTAAACTGAAAGGAAGAAAGATGGGCTCTTCCTGGCAAAGCACAAATCCACAGGCTCACTTTCCATTTCACCATGTGAATACCCTGTTATTGCCCACTAGCTTGGGCACTTTTTTTTTTCCAATTTTTTTTCAGAACAATGTGTAAATATTTCTAGCCTATGTACTAAATGGTGTTGGTTCTTTCCTTAGTTGGGATTGCACTAAACTAGGTCCTTTGCTGTGACTGGCTGTATGTCTGAAAATGAGGAGCAAATCTGTGTTAGTCCCAACAAGAGTTACACTGGCTGGTAAGACTCATGACACAAGTCTAGGCACCACACAACAAAGAACGTCCTGCAAGCTGTCAGTAATACTGTGACTTACAGATAAAAACTGAACTCAGGTGAAAAGCAGTATATATTGGTCAATGTGAGAAAAAGTACCTGGACTTTCTATGCCAACGCTATGGGTAAAGTTTCAGAAGAAAGGGCCCTCTTCTGAAACTAAATAGCTAATTAGAGCTAAATAGAACGAGCAATCTTTTTTTTTTTTCTGGTCAGAAAGCTAAAAATTGACCCAGTATAATTGTTCTGTAGACATACAGGCAGCCTCACTCCACTGTCCTAATACAGATATTACTCAGGAGGTGATGTGAGGGTTTTATTTTGGTTTCTCTGCACCAGTGATGAGATCATTGCTGAATGCTACGTCCAATTCTGATTTCAGTGCTTCAGAAAAGATGCTGAAGAATTTGGAAAGGCCTCAGAGATGATCTCTGAGAATGACTGTGGACCTGGAAAGGTCCAAGAAGGAAACAAAAACTGTATCAGTGAGTATATGCTGAGTTGGTACAGTGACAACTTTGCTGAAGATGCATACAGATAAATGAAACCAAAGGCTTGTTTTGTTTGTCCTTACAGGAAGAGCAGCTTACTCATTTCCCATAGCAAGCAAAAATTCAGTCTTTTTCAGTACTTCACGTTCCCTCAAACAAAAACTGTGGTTCTGTGAAGAAATAACTTGGGCGAGACCCAGAGGATCAAAGGCCAGGGCTGCACTGCAGCGTGAACAGGTGGCTCAGGGTAGCTTGTGCAGGTCATTCACCTGGTACAGCAGGACACCCAGGGCTTGCCTCCGTGCTGAAGCAATACTGAGGGTGTTCTTAACACAAGCTGCCAGGGCTGCACCTGGGCACAAGTGCAGTGGGTGATCCTAGACTGTTCCAGCCACAAGAAAAGGTTTCAAGTCTGTCTTGTATTGCCCTCCTCCTCACCCTTCCTTGCCAGTAACTGGCAGTGCATGTCCCCCTTTGCTGAGCTGGCAAGAAGCTGCAGTGCTGTTGGTAGGTCATTATCCATAGCAGCCCCATGTCAGGGTGGTAGGGCATGGACTGAACTGCTGCTCTTTTTTTCCCTTCGGGTTCAGGATGTTTTCACCTGAAAAAAGATGATCAACGGTCATGTTCACCCTTACGATCTCTAAAGCTGGCTGTAAATCTGGTAATCTTACTTGAAAGCCTTAAATCTGTAGTAGGAAAGTATTTCCTTCACTTCAGGAATAGGTGTATCGACTTAATGAATTAACTATAAACATATTTGACTCTCTAAGGTCTCTGACATTTCACAGAATCACAGAAGGGTTTTGGCTGGAAGAGACACTAAAGACCATCGAGTTCCAACAACCCTGCCACAGGCTGTGACACCTTTCGCCAGACCACGTTGCTTTAAACATTACGGTGGGTGACAAGTGGGTCAACCCCCCCCAACCATATTCCTGGTTGAACCAGCAGTGACTCTCCTCTGCATACGAGTCTTAAACTGTACTGACCTGACTGGAAGCATGCAAATACCGACGCAACCAGTCACGTACTGAAGTTGTTCGCTCCACAGAAAACGGTGTCACTTGCCCGTCCTGAATCTCCCCTAAGTGCGCTTTGCTGACAATGGCCTTTTCCCATGGCCGTACCCGGGATGCCTCGTCCGGCTATGGGCGCAGGGCTCCTCAGGGAGGAAGGCGCAGCAGGACGGCGGTTTCCCTCAGCCCAGCGCGCCGGGAGCCACGTGGTCCCGTCGGCCATGCCGCTACTGTACAAGGGACAGAAGCGCAGTCGGTAACCAGCCGGCACGGCGCAGCAGCCCGCCCCTGGCGCACAGCACGGCGAGGCGGCAGGCTGGGCAAAACCGCCGCTGAGGGGAGGGCACGGCACGGCACGGCACGGCACGGCACAGCACGGCCGCTGGCAGCACCACCCTGCCGAGCTCGGCCCTGCTGCGCCAGAGGCGAGGCGGTGCTCGCAGCGCGCCCAGCAGGTGGCGCTGCCGCAGCGTGGGCTGTGGCCGGACGGGAATGGGCGGAGCCACCGTTTGCGCGCGGTACGTGACCTGCGCCGGGAGTGCCCAGCGGGGCTGCCCGCCGAAGGGGAGTGGTCGCCGGGCGTGGCGGGTGTGGCCGCCATTACTTGCTGAGGGGTGCGGGGGGTGTGGGGTGGTCTTGTCATAGCCCCGGGCCCGCGAGGGTGCTGTTGGCCGTGGGGCGCGGTCGTGGTTGTGACTGCGATTGCGGCCAGTTCAGAACCGCGCCTGGAAAGCGGAACGGTCACGTCTGGGCGTTAACCTTGGGGGGGGTTGCTGAGGGGGAAGCGGGCGCGGGCTGCCCTGCCGGCCCTGCGCTGGCCGCCATGCGCGGAGCGGAGCGCGGCAGGCGAGCGTGCGTTCCGAACCAGCTGTAATTAAAAATGAAGTTGCGTGTAGTTAAGAGCACCTGGTTTTGAGCCCTCAGCGTGACCCTGTGCGAGGCCATGTTGAATTCTGTAGGCTGCCAGAGATCTCAGCAAGAGTTGGCAGAGAAGAAAATGCAAGTGGTCTTTTCAGAAATCATTCCAGCCGCAGCAACAAAACCAAATGAAGAACCTCGCACGGAATAAACCAAAACCCAAACACAACAGCAACAAAAATAAATCGGCCACAGAATCGCAGAATACAGGTTGGAAGGGACCTGAAGGGTCCTCTGGTCCAGCCTTACTAGGTGGATCATTGACCTAGACTAGATATCCCAGCGCCCTGTCCAGTCAAATCTTAAAGTGCCCAGCGTGGGGAATCCATCACTTCCCTGGGGGGATTATTCCAGTGGATAATTGTTCTGTGAAAAATTTTCCTCCTATGTTCAGTTGCAATCTCCCCAGGAATAACTTGTGCCTATTACCCCTTGTCTTTTCCATGTGACATCTTGTGAAAAGGGAATCTCCATCTTCTTTGTAGAGGAAATCTGCAACTCCTCAAAAAATCCTCAAAATGTTTTAAGGTTTGTGGGTACTGCAAAGCGCCGGGTTTGACCTGGAGAAGGATGGAGGTGTACCTAGGCAGAATGTGGCCTGAGGCGGGGATGTGGTCCATACAGTGTCTCGGGGAAGTAAACCGAGCGCTTGGTGAGTGTGGTGGGGCCTGGAGCGCGTGTGAGGGTACACTGTTCGCTTCCCTTTCTGGGGAAGCTGCACTCTGGGATCCATGCTTAGCCTCCAGTCTGATACGGTCCACTCGGGAGTAAGGCGCCCCTGCGGCTGGGCACTGCTGCAGCTCTGCCGGCAGAAGCAGAGCTGCCAGGGTTGGCTGATTTGTATCACTGGGGGAAGGTTGGCATCAGGGACACTTTTATTCTCTGTGGAAGGAGCAGCAGACCTTTGAGCTGCAGGTAAAGGAATTTGACTGGAAACTCAATTTTTAAGAAATAACAAGGAAAATGGACCTTCTGGCATCTGGGTGCTCAACAGAGACAGTGGAACACTATTCTGGCCAGGTTATAGTTAGTATCTTTTGGGTATCTAAGCTATGGAAATAAAAATAATGAAAATGTAGATGGCAGTAATTGTCCTAAGTTAAGCTTTAGTCAGATGGTCATTGGCCTATAATTACATTGTATCTTTGTTTTAATTACTCAGAAGATGGAACATTTCAGATTTGTGTAGCAATACTCTGGTAATGCCATACACTCCATTTATATTTAGCTGGATTAGTTAATTTAAACAAATCTCAGGCTGAAGTTTTAAACTAATACACTGAACAGTCCTGCTGAAGTTGAAATAATTGAATATATGTTACGGAAGTTAACTGTGCTGAGTAAGGACCAGCATATTTGTTCAGCCCCTTTGGGAGCATTTGCTCTTTTGAATGTGGGTGGAAAACATCTGTACCTATTTACTTTCTCTGAGTCTTCACAGTGTGCCTGTAACTACATCCATGGATGGCCTGCCAAAATGCATGATGAAGATAGCAAAGCTGCTACCGTGAAATGCAGTTCTCCTTCAGTTTGAACTGAGACATCTGCTGGCTTTAGCAAAGTTCTGCTCAATACAACTGAAGGTTTGAAAAAGAAATATTAATAATGTTAATCTTAGTAATATTAATAATGCAATCTGCTATTGATTGCAAGGAAAGCAAGCTCTCTAAAATTGAAGGCAAGCCTTGGTGCTTGTCTCAAGGATTTTGTTACTCAAGCTGAGATAGCAAAGAAGCACTTTGAAGGTTAATTTTGGGCCATATGATGACAGCAACAGGTGAGATGTGGTAATCACCGTAGATACTTTATAGATTTACATTTTGTAAGGTATGTATTTAAAAGATGAAGGGAGGTAATGCAAAACCTCTAAACTGGTGATAGAGAAAGCATGAAGTAAATCTCACCTAATGAGCAGTCAGAAGTGGATTCTTGAATCTGTGAAATACTGTTCTGCTTGACTAGCATGGAACATTTCATTTTAGCATCAAAAGGAATTCAGGTGTCACAGCCAGTTAATGAAATAGTGATTAAGCAACTAAACCAAAGGATTCATACTTCCTGTTGTTAAGGAGAATGTGTGCTCATTTTTAGTGGCAAAAATTATAATATGATTTTGGTGGGTAACACACAATTCTAGCCCCTTATTGCTGACTACAAATGTAAATTCAGAAGAAAATTCTAAATCAGTTTACCTATGATGAGGGAAGTCTTGTCAGATGTTAGGTGAAGTCTAGCTAATTAAGGAAGTGCATTCAGGCTCTGCCAGAAGATCAGATATTATTCTTATTTTCATCTTAATAAGAAATCATTGATGGTGTAAAGAGTTCCTTTGATTATTAAAATAGGATATGAATATTGAAACCTTTTACAGGTAAGGACATGTTGATATGAAAGTAGCACAGAGAGGAAATGTCATTACGCTCTTCTTTTTTTTTAATGTTTCCATTTCACACTGTCTCAGGAAATCAAATTAAGGTACTCCAGTATTCTTATTAAATTCACTGGATGGGAGCTAAGAAAGATGATTAAGAGCTTGCATTTGCTGCTTATAATATGGCAAGAAGCAAAGACATGTAAGACACCAGTGAAGAGCAATTTTAGGCCTTGTACTTTCAAACTCGCCTTTTTATATACTATTACATGTCATTCCTAGTCCCTCTTCATGTTCTTATTATCACCTGCAGAAGAGAAGGAGGCACAGCACAGGCAGAGTGGAATAATAAAAGGAAGCAGAGTAATAATGAGATTTTATATAATGCTATCATGAGTACTTAAAGCTGAAGTTAATAGTAACCGTGAACTAGCTGCTGTTTCACTAGTTTAGAAATTACTGAACTGTAGCACTAATAGTTGTCAAAGTATGGCATAAAAAAAATACTCTGTCACTGAGGTCCTATGCATGTATTATGTACTGTGGGTAATGTCAGTAAGAGGTTAGTCATACCATACTCTCACATGATGTAATTAATACAGAGTAAATGGCTCTGAAATTTAACACCAGCCAGAGTGTAGTAATTGTGGAATTGTCCCAACTCTCAAAGAATGTGTGAGTGGATGGTGTTAATAGCTTGATCATGTAGCAGCAAGGGTTTAAACATAGATTATGAAGCATATAATTTGGTTCCTCAAGGGGCAACTAATTTGACAGCAGGCACCTTGTAGTGGAAGCTGACTTTTTGGTAGAGCTGTGGAACAGGCCAGGTTTTATTTTTAGGAGCATATGAGATCTGTTGGATCCTGCAATTATTCACGTCTGATCTGTAGTATTCCAAGAGCATTTCCAAGCATCCTGATTCACCAGGATATGTCTGCTTCTGATCTTGCTTTATTTTGGGGTTCAGTGTTTTAAGGAGAAGTACCACTACTGCAACTACAGCCTACAGCAAGATCTGTGTCAGATGTCACAGACTGGCTCTTTAGAAATCTCACATACCAGAAGTTTAGGTTTCAGAGGAATGGCAGGTACTCAGAAATTGCAGAAATCCTAGCCAAAACCTTCACTGACCTTATGTGAGGTATTTTAAATAACCTGTATTAGAGCAGTAGAATGGTAAGCATCAGTTGTGTGCTCAGTTTTAACTGAACAAGAAAAACTGCAATCATAGAATCATAGAATCGTTAGGGTTGGAAAGGACTTTAAGATCATCTAGTTCCAACCCCCCTGCTGTGGGCAGGGACACCTTACACTAAATCATATCATCCAAGGCCTCTTCCAAACTGGTCTTGAACACTGCCAGGGGTGGAGCATTCACAACCTCCCTGGGCATCCTATTCCAGTGCCTCACCACCCTAACAGGAAAGAATTTCCTTCTTATATCCAACCTAAACTTCCCCTGTTTAAGTTTTAACCCATTACCCCTTGTCCTGTCACTACAGTCTCTAATGAAGAGTCCCTCTCCAGCACCCCTGTAGGCCCCCTTCAGATACTGGAAGGCTGCTATGAGGTCTCCACGCAGCCTTCTCTTCTCCAGGCTGAACAGCCCCAACTTCCTCAGCCTGTCTTCATACGGGAGGTGCTCCAGTCCCCTGATCATCCTCGTGGGCCTTCTCTGGACTTTTTCCAACAGTTCCATGTCCTTTTGATGTTGAGGACACCGGAACTGCACACAATACTCCAGGTGAGGTCTCACAAGAGCAGAGTAGAGGGGCAGGATCACCTCCTTCGACCTGCTGGTCACGCACCTTTTAATGCAGCCCAGGATACAGTTGGCTTTCTGGGCTGCGAGTGCACGCTGCTGGCTCATGTTCATTTTCTCATCAACCAGCACCCCAAGTCGTTCTCCGCAGGGCTGCTCTGAATCTCTTCTCTGCCCAACCTGTAGCTGTGCCTGGGATTGCTCTGACCCAGGTGTAGGACCTTGCACTTGTCATGGTTAAACTTCATGAGGTTGGCATCAGCCCACCTCACAAGTGTGTCAAGGTCCCTCTGGATGGCATTCCTTCCCTCCAGGGTATCAACTGAACCACACAGCTTGGTGTCATCGGCAAACTTGCTGAGGGCGCACTCAATCCCACTGTCCATGTCAGCGACGAAGATGTTAAACAAGACCGGTCCCAACACCGATCCCTGAGGGACACCACTCGTTACTGGTCTCCAGCTGGACATTGAGCCATTGACCACAGCTCTTTGCGTACTGGTACACAGGAGGAATCTTAGAATATTATTCTTTAAAAGCTTTATGTTTTTCACTTTCTAGTTATTGCTAACATCTAATGGAAGGTCATTTTTTTATAATATAATTTGTGCTCAATAGTGCCAGCTCAGTTCTTCCCAGAGATTCTTGAAGTACAGTTGTGCTTAATGCTATAGAAGCACAACAGTGTGACAATTATTCTTTGAGAGTAAGTTCAGATTTAGTTGGGCTGGACAGATGGAAAAAAAAAATTAGATAGCTCATGACTTGAAAATGGTTCTGAGTTCTGTCAGGTTTTTTAAAATTATCATCTGATAGCTATACAATAAACTAAATTATTCTAACACCAGGAATCAATGAGAAGTCATTTAAAAATGTAAGGAAGCTGTATATATGCAAATACTATATGAGAAATTTCATAACAATCACTTAAAAAATGTAATTTGCAACTTGAAAGACTGAATAAAATGATTTTCCTAGAAGTGTATTTCAGATGCTTCTTGATTTGCGGCAATTGGTACCTCCTAATTTGAGGGACCTTTCCAAGTTTGGACTAACCCCCATTTTCTTTTTAAAACTTTAGAGAATATGTAGGAATTGTCATTGTGAGGCACATTACAATCTCAAAAACTGCTGTTAAAAATTCTTTAGAAATAATGCACTGGAATAATTTGAACTAGCTTTAACTTAGCCATTGAGGTATCAGGAGTGCAATACATGACTTTGGTATTGAGTAATTGGCTCTCAGCAGGTAAGCTGGTTAACACTCCATTCCCTGCTGTCATGGATAGCCTTCTAATACAAATGTCTAATACATGACCAGCCAGCTTAAAGTTAACTTGGCTATCTCTTTACAGTGCTGCATTGTCTTTGTTGTTGTAACTCTTGTGACTTGCTGGCCTAAAATGGTTTCTAAATCCTCTTTTTTTTCTTTCTTATTCCAAAATAATAGTAGTACATGCTTATTCATATAGCAAGATGCATTTTTCTTTTAGGAGGGCAGAATTTAATTTCCGTAGTGCAAGTCCATCTTGTAGAAAAGTTTAATTTCCATAAGTTAAACCCCCTCCTTCCTTTCAGCTGACTGGAAGAGAAATTCAGATGTTTTGTCCTTGAGATCACCATCCTGAGCCTCAACACCGAAGATATTTAAAAACAGCAGATGGATTTCTTACTGTACCAGATGAAGTAGAACAAGTTAAGTATGGTGCCAAGATAGATAACCTGTTTCAAGACATTTCTTTTATGTCAAACAACCCTTGACATTATACTCAAGTAACAGTCATTCTCAATTATCACTATCAAGTGTTACCATACTGCAGTATGTAGTGGTTTCTATTCCATATGCTTATAAAATAGGTCCAAAGACAGACATTCACATGAAAAATGTCCAGATTTTTATTGCTGTGCCATCTGTGCTGAATAATTCTGCAGTTTCTGGTTTACATTAAGAGCATAATGAAAACTGCTGATAAAGAGGGGGGAAATGAACAATTTCATTCAAAAATTATTCCTGTAATAGCTGAAATCTACAGATTTTTCAGATAATATGTATTTAAACATTTGGCTTAAGGGAAGTTAACATTTTGAGCAATGGTGTGTGTGGAAGGGCGAGCTAGAGATCTAGGTGAGAAGTGAATGCACCAATCTTAACAGTATGATATCCATCATATACTCTCAGTGCTTGTCCCTGCTGCTTTGAAATTCTTCATACATAATTTTCCATAGGAGTGAGGAAAAAAATTGCATAAATGTATATTGTTTATGTGTCTAGAACAGCTTAATAGAAGCCTTAGTCAAAGGACTGAGATTTTAGTGAGAGATTTCTACTGTCTTTTGAATGTGATGAGATTTATAGTCATCTGCTCTTGCAGAAGAGGCTTCCAAAGTGTGAATTCAGTTATTGAAAAAGTTCTGTTTCCTGTTGTGATCCTGCTTTAAGAAGGATACCATTATATATTTGTAGCTTTCTCTGAATTCAGAAAACAGTAAACCAATGGCATCTTGCACTTCATCAAAAGAAGTGTGGCCAGCAGGTCAAGGGAGGTGACTCTTTCCCCCTGCTCTGCTCTCATGAGACCCCACCTGCAGTATGGTGTTCAGTTCTGGGCCCCAAACATAAGAAGGATATGGACTTGCTACAGCAAGTCCAGAGGAGGGCCACAAAGATGATCTGAGGGCTGGAGCACCTCTCCTGTGAAGACAGGCTGAGAGTGTTGCGATTGTTCAGCCTGGAGAAGAGAAGGCTCTGGGGAGACCTTAGAGCAGCCTTCCAGTTCCTAAAGGGGGCCTACAAAAATGCTAGAGAGAGACTTTTTATAAGGGCATGTAGTGATAGGACAAGGGGGAATGGTTCTAAACTAGGTTCAGATTAGATGTTAGGAAGAAATTCTTAACTGTGAGTGTGGTGACACACTTGAACAAGTTGCCCAGAGAAGTTTTGGATGCTTTGTCCCTGGCAGTATTCAAGGCCAGGTTAGATGGGGCTTTGAGCAACCTGATCTAGTTGAAGGTGTCCCTGCCCATGGTGGGGAGATTGGAACTGGATGATCTTTCATGTTACTTCCAACCAAAACCATTTTGTGATTATGTGAATTGTAGTTATTTATAAAGACCTAAAATAATTTTGCATGGGGTTTGGAAGGAAAGGCTATATCTTAATATAGTTTTGTGTATACAATGATTACTTTTAGTTTCAGCAAAGTGAAAATAAGGAGTTGTATAAGCCTTAATTATGCTGTTAATTTTATTTCTTGAGATATCGTAATGGAATTGAATTGCTGTTTAAGAAATTCTTGTATCAGTTTGAAACTGCTGTACTCCCTGCAATATTTTGTCTGTAGGTACATTACAGTAGTGGAGAAATTACTTTTAAAAAATCAGATTTACTAGTAAATTCGTATTTTATTCCTTCAGTGTGTTTATTGGAGCACATAGATGTGTATTCTATTTTTTAGAGATACTGTTTTAGGTCTCAGGTCTTCTCTGCAGTCTTGGAGCTCGCAAGTGCTGTCTGTGCTAACTATAGTCCTGCGCTTGTGATCCTGGCAAGTGGCATCCATCAGCACAAGCCCTTGGAGATATGCTGCTAAGTCTCTTTCTAGAGCTGTGTGGCAGGTGAGCACTAACAGGAGCCACACTTGGTGTTGCCTGTAAGAACAGGATGTGTAGACGCTCACAGGATCTGTGGCGTGTAACCAAGGTCAGCACGTAGCGCAGCACAGGGAGAAGAGGTTCTCTCAGGGAGGCTGCCTTACGTTGTTTAACAACCTAGATAGGAATTTTGCTTGCTTGTGGGTCTTTTGCACTGGGAGGTGGGAGTTTGGATTTCTAGGTTAATGATAGTGGTAATTATAGAAGATACCTAGAAGTTAGAACGCTAGGTTTCAGAGGGTTTTGATGTTATGTTTTGTTTTGTTTTCCCATAAATACTGAATGGTTATGATATGTTTCTGAAAAAAATTGGAGCATTTGGGCTATAAATTACTAGTCTGTTCACTGCTTTAAAGATGAACCTGAACTATCTGAGGATGAATTGCAAGACTGAATTGTGTGAAGCCAGAACCTGCAGTATCTGGCTTTATCTTGGAGGCAGGTACTAACTCCAGACAGTTCTAGGTACCAGGTTTCAGTGCTGCAAACTAGGCAGCTCATCTGTCACAGTTCCTAGTAAAAAGCTTGGTGCCCTGGACTAGAAAGACTTCTGCTCCTGCAGAAGTCTTTGGATTGTCACTCTGTAGCAATATCTATACAGCTAGATACAATTTCTGGAGCGTGAGTGATGTACGTCCTTCTTATGAAACCTTGACACACTGCACAATTTGGAGGAAACCAAAGGGAATGCATTTATAAAAAAATTCAAAACTCCTGCATTTTATATATTATTCTATGCCAAGCTCTATCTTGAAACAAAAAGTTTACTGGCTTTCCCAATTTTAAAACCATTGTTACAGAGGAGCCTGTCAGCTGATGTTCTCTGCCCTCTCTCCCTTTCTAATTTTGCAAATGCATTCATCTGGGGAGAGGGAGGAGGCCAGAAGAGAATATGGCAAAAGAGAGCTGTATCTGCAATGTGTGACTGCTGGGAAATAAATATATCCCATTGGTCTCTCTGTATGCCGTATTTCAGCAAGAAAGTCATGTTTTTCAAGTGACTTTACACTTTTTTGCTGTAAGTGTTAATTAAAAAAGCTGTTGTTATATAGGCAATGAAGGCCCAGCCTTGCCATTGCCCTTCGCTCACAGGGAGGTGTATACAGATGACAGGATTAGACATGGCTGATCTCAGATCATGTCCTGCAGTGGCTCTGAGCTGTGACATCACCACCAACTTCAGAGGAAAATGTGTAGGACTACAGTGTCATGACTTTGCCCACGAGAAAGCTGAAGATGTTCGTTTGTCCAGTTCTGTTCATCGTTGTTTCATGTGTAAGGGATTTTTCCACGGATATCTATTATAACGTTGAATTTTGCTGCAGTATTTCAGAAAGCATATACTTTATGTTTCATATGAAAATTGTCTAGCTTCTTCTAGTTACAATAGCTGCTTGTTCTGCTGCCAAGAAAGGAGCATCATCAACTACTTGGATTATAAAATTACAGAATAAAGACAACAACAGAAATACACCGTTATTTTTCCTTCCTTATATCCTGCCTTGTGACAGGAATCCCTCCCCCTTCCAAATTCGTTGCTTAACAATAAACAAAGCTGCTTTCAACAGCTATTTATAGCCTCTGCGGAGTGTAATACAGTTCAGCCATGACAGTATTAAGAAATGGGATTATCTTCATAGTTTTGATGTTTTAGTAAACTTTATTTGATTTATAACCTCTCCTAAACTCATAGAATTATAGAATGGTTTGGCTTGGAAGGGACCCAAAAAATCATATAGTTCCAACCACATTGCCATGGGCAAGGACACCTTCCACTAGACCAGGTTGCTCCAAGCCCTGTCCAACCTGATGTGAACACTTCCAGGGACAGGGCAAGCCACAGCTTCTCTTGGCAACCTGTTCCAGTGCCTCACCACCCTCACAGTGAAGAATTTCTTCCTAATATCTAATCTGAAGTCTGTCCTCTTTCAAAGTGATTCCCTTTTGTCTTATCACTACTTTTTATAAAAAGTCCCTCTACAGAATTTTTGTAGGCCCCCTTTAGGTACTGGAAGGCTGCTATATGGAGTGTCTACAATCCCAATAATAAAGAATAGCATAAATACGTTTGTTTAGGTAAATGTTTTATTAACATCAGCAGAGAAAGATGTTCACTGCAAGGGATACAGTGTCACCACAACAACTCCAGAAGTGACTGGAAGTTTTAGTTTACTCAGCCTGGGGATTTCAGGTTGCTTGTATGTTTCATTCCTATTAACAGAAATTTTTGTTGCTCAGTGTTTTGGGAAATTATGTAAAGATATTTGGCTGAATCCCAATATATCAGAAAACATTTTTTAAAACCTTAAAAATCTGTCTACTTTGCCCAAGGAAAATGCCTTGAGGAAAGGACTTCACATTCCCTAGCTATAAGTTAATAATTATGGTGAACAAAATTAAGAATTTAATCACAAAGGACTCCCTCTGTTGTCAACAGAGAGAAAGAGGATCTTTCAGGGGATTCCTGACTAGAAGTCTTAACTCAGATCTCTGTGCTACCCTTCTGAGGAGGCTTGTGAGAGAGACAAGAAAACTTAGATACCCGTGGCAGTATGTGATGGGTGGACTTGCATTGGTAATCCCAGTGTTTCCATGGTGAACGCTGGCTCCCATGTCTGGGGCTCTCCTGACAAAGTGCAATACAGAGATGCAGAGGGAGGTACCAGTTTTCACCAGCTGTCACACCTTGTCTCCTCCAGAACTTCTGCACAAAAGGTGGTGAGTTAGGACAACCTTGTGTACTCTAATGCTTGACCTGTGGGCCACCAGTTCAGCCACCGGTTCTTAGGAATATTAGTCCATCCTTTCTCTTCCCTTACATGTTCTCTGTCATAGCTGGCTTTTGTTTTTCAAGAATATTGTAGATGATGTATCTGACATTTTGGGGCAAGGTCTTTCTCATGCTTATACCAGGCAAATTATATGACATCAAATTCTGACTAATGCTTTGTTCCACTTGTGGTTGTCAGCTGTAGGTGATAACATCTGTGTTGCCTGTGCCTTTGCATTTTAAGAGTGCTCTCAGGAACACGTGCAAATACTGCAGGCCCTTTGACCTGCCACGTGCTGACCCCACAGTTGTCTCACAGGCTGACTACAAGGAGCCTTGTCAATTGTATCTGCAAGACTGGAGTTGCTCAGGCATTTGAAGTTGTGGGTGCACCTTCACCCATATCTGGGACTGTGTTTACAATTTCACAGTTTTGGATCTACCCAAAACTGGACTTCAGAAAGGTCACCAACAGACTTCAAAGATAATGTATGCCCTGACTCATTTACTTTAGACAGTCCTCTAAATGGGCACTGACCTCCTGTGTCTTTGTGCTGGACAGTCTCTGTTAAGAAATCCTGTAACTTGCTGTCCTCTTTTGCACTGCACTGCTGTATCTTCTCATTTAGTTAGTATTAAACTTTTAATCAAACATAATGCTTTAAGGATCTGGATCTTGAAATTTGTTGGCAGATTCTTTAGTATTCATCCTTCTCATCTGAAAAATTGCATAGCTCTCCTATGGCAGTTAAGACATAAAAACCTTCCCTGAATCTGAATCTTTGGTGGGTACAGAAGTCTGAAGGCTTCTGGCTTTTCTAATGGCTATGCTGTTTTGTTTGCTGCTGTCAGCATTTCTTTTTATTAACAGATACTATGTTTGTTTCTCATTTAGCCTGGCAGCTTAACGTTTAAAGTAGGTGAGAATCTGATTTTACTTACAGAATACTTCATTTATTTAAGGTTTTTTGAAATGACTTGTTCAATGGATGTATCACACCTTGGCTGATGATCGGTCCCTCTTTCTGTGCAATTACAGTTCTACGCAACAAAGAAAGAGTGGGATACGTGTATCCAGGCAAAACTAAATCACTTAAGCAGAAAATAAAGTCTGTTGAAACACTACATAAATGCTGAACATGCACCTTTTTTAATTGAGCCTGGTAAACAGAGAGATTCCCAGCATATCCTGAAAGTTTAGTCCCTGGACCAAGTCAAAAAATGACCCACCACTCGTCAAGGTAAAATACAAGTTACAAGTCAAACAGCTAGTCCTTTTAAGAAACAGTGAATATGTGTAAATTGGCGATTGTTTTAGAGCTTCTTGGTTTGACTCAATTCATAAATTTAGTTTATCAGTTAAAAAATTTGCTGCACCGAGAACTTGATTGTCACCCTCCTCACAGAGATGGAACCTAATGTGCTAAAGTGCAGGCTGACATAGAAAGCCTTTGAAGTTCACAGTGCTAGTCAGAGATGTGCCTGTACCCAAGAGCCAAGTCTGTTTAGTGACAATTACTAAATCTGTAAATACTTTTGATTCATAGAATCATGAATCATGATTCTGTAAATACTTTTGATTGATGGTTTTAAAGAGAGAGACAATTCTTGAATGTCAACTCACAAATGCAAGTGGATTAAAATTTCCTGAGCCACCTGCTTGCTTCAAAGGCTATGGCTTGAACATTGTGGGAAAAATCTGTTCCATGAGTTCCTCAGAAAGGTGCCTCAGTACTGAAGGTAGTTGTGCCTTTCTCTGAAACCTGGCTGAAGGTATCTTCCCAAAGTGAAGACATTAATGGCCTCAGACTAATTACACTTTTGCAAGGCATAAGACTCTCAGTTGCTTGTAGATTCCTGTTCATTTGCTGGCTACTGACAACTTGTGAGCTTAAGTTGACCTCTGTGTATTTTAAATTGGGTATTAACTCTGGAAGAAAAAGAACATGTCAGATGAACTGTTACCACATCTTCTGTGTCATGCCATAGGTCTCACTGGGAGCTGGACAATGATGGCAGAAGAAAGCTGGGAAATTGTATTATTATAAAGAACAGCTTCGTAAGTGGAAGAGGTGTTGGTGAAGGCAGACGCTATTAGTGTGAAAGAAGCAGAACCTATTCATTAGCTCTTCTTTCTGTGTGGGAAATTAAAATGTGAAATAAAAAGGACTGGTTGCACTGTGCAACTACTTGCTGTGCAATGAGCATACATCATGCCTTGAATATAACAAATGCCAAATGTAACAACTATGTAGAGGCCAGATTTCTTTCTTCTCTGGGGATTTTGATCTGTATTCTTGTAGAAGATTTTTTTGTATCACATCCATGCATTTCCCATCACTTTGTAATCTGAAGGAGAAATCCAGTCTGGTAAATTAATAGGTAGCATTCTCCTATGTAACAGACCAGGTGGGAGTATGTAGACCTTAGAGGAGTGTTTGTCACCAAATGAACATGTCTGTGCTAGTTCAAAATGCCCTTCAAGCTATGTCTGAAATATTTCTCTGTTCAAATGAGTTACTCCTTCTCGTGGGTGGAATGAAGAATCTTGTCCTTCATCTTAATTTGTATACACTAAGTTCATGACAGAGTAACTTAGTCATACGAAGGAAGGCAGATATCACCTCCCTTCTATGCCATGCAAAGCTAACAGACTAGTAAAACCAGGCCTTCCATGTCTACCAAAACAATCAGGTTGCACACTCTGCATACTCAAGTTAAAAAGCTAACTAACTTAGCTATTCGTATGGCTTCTAAACCACACATGTACAAATTCACATTAAAATTAGAATTAATTACATCTCTCAACTCATCCATCTAAATGAACAATGCTTTGCTGAATGTAGCTCTGCTTTTCATAAGTATCCTCCCATTATATAACAACTGGATATTCCTATTTTACCTTGGCATTTGTTTGTGGGAGAGGTGCTCTGAAAACTAAATATATCCAGTATTAATTGAACTATGTATCTAGGAAGGACAATTCTTTATCATTTTATAATGAGATCTGTCTATACATGAAAAAAAATCAGCCATTCAACATTTTTACTTCTATTTTAGATCTGTCTTCACATCTGTGAGAGAGAGCAACAATTGCCTCCTATATTTTACAGCCTGGAATGTATGAAAAATGAACTTCTGAGAAACTGAGTTTTACAAATACTCAGAAAATGGGAAGAAATAACACAGAGGAAAAGGAAATGGGCAATGGATAAAATGATAAGGATTTTTGGCATCTAATGGAAAAGGAGAGAGAAACACCTACAAAATACAAATCTGCACATAAAAGTCTTCCTGAACCCTAAAAATGACATGCAGTATGTTAGATCATTATTTTCCTTCTCTGTTACGTCTCTTGCCCTATTAATTCCCCTACATATACCACATTTGATGTGTTCTCGTTATGCTTATATTCCTTCCTGTTACCCCATATGAACTAGGAAACTTACCATGTCTTCCCTTGGAGCTCCAAATCTCCAAGCACAAAGTATCCATGTTCTGTGCCATGAGCAGTCTTCAGAGAGTTACCTTCGGTCTAGCTTACAGTAGCATGCAGCTGTCTCTTGGCAAGCACACTACCTAGCGAGCATGTTGGCACTGTGGTGTCCTGAGGCCGTGATGCTGCCTGCGGTTCCTTGGCCTCTCTGTGCTGTGTAAACATGTCTACCGTCTTTAATGATCTCAGCTGGTGGCCTTGACACAAAACAACAGAACTTGGAGGCTGCCTTTTGCTGTCGTCTGTATGCAGTAACCAGGGAAAGGTTTCACCTCTACCATGGATTTAGCAGAATGCCGCCAAAACTGAAGGTGGTGTGAACTCCCATGCACTGAATTCAGTGAACCAGAATTTTCCCACTGAATTCATCTGCTTGGAAATGGAAGTTACAGGTTTACTTCATCACACAGATGCCCTGATGCATTACAGTTGTGTATATTCCTTGAACAGTGCAGTTTACCCACTCAGTTTGAGGACAAGGACAGAGACAGCCTGGCAAATTGCTCTGAGGTTGTTGAAGGCAGAACCTGTCCAGCTGTACTGTCTGTCCTGTCCCTGCTGTGGTTGGCCTGGCAGGGTGGAGCACCTGCACACGTCGCAGTGCAAAGTCTGCTGTCTTAGCACAAACTGGCTGTCACCAGCACTTTAAAGAAAATTGCTGGACTTTGCATCTGAGGCTTGTACGCACAGCCCCAGCCGGCTTTCTTCTGTGGGGATGTTTTCTCCTGGGAAACAAGTGGTAATGAATTGTGGAGGACCTAGAAGCAGAATAATTATTTCTGTTCATGAGTATCCAAAGACTTACAGACTTTTTTCCATGGATTTGCAGAAATCGATCCTTAGTCCCATTTAAATGACTACACCAGACGTTCTCAACTGAATGAAAATGTACATGGTATGCAGGCACCAAAGATTGCAAATAAATGTTTTTCAAAACCGCCTGTAATTATGCAAAGTAAATTTTATGCAAGAAGTGGCGCCACCTAAATGACAAAATAACATACGCACATGTTAGAAAAGAGTCTTTTCAAAGGATCGCCACCCTCCTGGAATAGCTAGAGTCTTCAATTACAAGTTAATCTATCCTAGTAATATTAATTTGGGAGTTGATTGGGAGTGGTCCTCTGTTTTTTCAGTAGTTATTGTATTCTTTCTACTCTTTCAATTCTACAGAATTACCTCCTGTATGAACACCATGTGGCAACATGACTAGTTCTGCTGCAACTTTCCCCATGACAAGGTAAGAAATCCAGAGTTAGACGGCTCAGATGTAACCAAAGCTGATTTATAGCTAGAGTTTGTTAATTTCTCATTTTAAACTCAGACCCGAGCAGTCAGTTATATACTGTCAACAAGCCTGATACTTACGTTTTTTTCCCAATTACCCTCTTTTCTGTGTCTCCTGGTAAGTAGAACCAGGAGTAGAACCCACTGGTCTTGTGGCATTGGGCTGCAGTGCTTCACCAAGGACCCAGAGGAAACAGGGCTGCTCCAGCTATATCAGTTAGAATCTGCTGTCTGCTCCTGTGCCACCATCCATGTTCTTCATGCAGCCTCTCCATGGAGCTGGACTGTGGTTGAGAGTACAACTGCAGTTGCTTGAAGGAGAGGATACAAGTCTGTAAAGGTTGCAAACCTGAAGCTCCCTTACTTAGTTGGTGCAATGAACCAGATTCTAACTGCCTACAATTTGAAAGCTTCCAGGAAGACCATGAAAGGAGTATCTGATATGTTGGTGCTGCTGCAGTAATAGCTGTGTCAAAACCAGGTGTTGCAACTTCCTAAACAGTAGTAATAGATGAGTTGATACCACCTACTTCCTTAGTTCTTCTTTTCCTGCTTTGTCATAAGGGTGGCTGTCTAGGACTAGAAAAAGGAAGACAGTGAAGTTTTAAAGGATTTGCAATTGTAAGCAGCTGAGAAGGAAATGAGCACTAATTCTTGTCAGAAGCAGACTACTAAGCTGCAGGCTGAGTGACGCCCTGTGGGTCCAAGATCCACTATACAGAAGTGGGAATAGTGAGTCTGAAAGTTAAGAGTCTCAGTTGGCCATTAGTAATTCTTCTGGTCATCTGTGAAAGTCTCAGGGATGGTCCAGTCAATAGAGCCATATCATTCATGAATCTAAGTTTAGGTCACTCTAAGAAGCATAGCAGACTTGAAAAAGAAAGTTTTAATGGATCAGAAGAAGCAACATTGATTTTGAGAAAATAGACACCTTCATCTAGGACCTTTCCCGATGAGTCCTCACATCTGTGACTGCTTTGTACCAAAATTGACTTTATAGTCCACACAACCTGGTCTTTATGAACCCCAGAGGCAGAGTTTTCCTTCCACTGAATTCCCCTAGTGAAGATCCAAACTCTTGTCATCGCGTGACTTAATAGATATTCACTTTGAATCAAAAAACCTTACACAAAGATGTTTAATTGTGTATTACATTCATCCATGTGTCTTCTCTGTGAGACCAGAGTCTCTTATAATATAAACCAGTTTGAATTCTCTTTTATCATACATCTGAAAGAAAACAAAGAACAACAAAAACCTCCCACACCATTTAAAATGTGTTTACCTGAACTTCTCACCTTATTACAGATAGACATGTGGTGGGATGGGGAATTCTGTGTCCTGTTTGTCTTGCTCTGTCACCACATGCATGGAACTCATATTTCCAGTACAGCATCATGACTTCTCTTTGACAGGCCATGAAGATGTGTATTTGCAAAGGCTTAGAGAGCAATGGAGACACATTGACATGGCCACTTCTACAGTTGCCATCCCTTAGTACTGTTTAGCTGTGTCATCTCCCAGCCTAGGCAAACATAAATAAAGCAAGCCCTCAGAATTAATATCTCTGTCTCTGTTTTCTAGACGGACCACTAAACGAAATGTGTAAGACTTCACCTATCTGTAATGCTGACCAGCTACTGTTAAAAAAACCTTCTTTTCTGTCTCTGCTTTCATGCTTTGATAATCATTCCCCTTCCTGTTCATGGGATGACTTTATTGTCTTCATTTTGTCCATTTTTATATTAAATACTTCCCTTTGGGTTTTGCCTTTGGAGTTTTGCTTGATTCACTGGCTCTCTGGAATACTATGTAGAGCTTGTTTTAAACGGCAAAGTATATGCATGTGTAGCATGCCTCAGTAGAACATGCATGAACTGCTGTTCAGAGCAGCTGTCATTTTCAATTGGTACATGAGGGTTCTGATGAGACCACTGCATCCAAATTGCCCAAAAGCATTGTCTAATGTCACTACCTCAGTCCTGTTTCCATTTTGTGTCATGTATTCTTCCCTCCCTCCTCAAAATTAACCCTTGCTTTAACTGTGCAGCATGGAGCCCATGATAGTGTAACACCCCTTACTGCATGTTGAGTTTCACACCAGCAAGGCTTGCCCCAAGAATGGTTTTCCTAGGTAACGTACCAAATGTGCAATAGTGTAACAAGTTGAATGAAGTTGTGCCAACACAATACTAAATATCATCAGTGATCTTTACTCTTGTGAGACCCCAGCTGGAGTACTGTGTTCAGCTCTGGGGCCCCCAGCACAAGAGGGATGTGGACCTCACTGTTGGAGTGAGTCCAGAGGAGAGTTAAGAAGGTGATCAGAGGGCTGGAGCACCTCTCCTATGAAGACAGACTGAGGCTGTTCATCCTGGAGAAGAGAAGGCTCTGGGAAGACCATATGGCAGCTTCCAGTACCTAAGCGGGGCCTACAAGAGAGCAGGAGAGGGACTTTTACAAGGGTAGTGATAGGACAAGGGGGAATGGCTTTAAACTGAATGGGGACATTTAGATTAGATATTAGAAAGAAGCTCTTTACTATGGTAGTGGTGAGACACTGGCACAGGTTACGCAAAGAAGCTGTGGCAGTCCTGGAAGTTCAGAGCCAGGCTGGATGGGGCTTGGAGCAACCTGCTCTAGTGGAAGGTGCCCCTGCCCATGGTAGGGGGATTGTAACTGTTCCTTCCCAACTCAAAACATTCTATGATTCTGTGAATGTCCCCACTGAGAGGCAAGTGCCACTGCAGATCATTTCTCAAACAGTGTGACTAACACAGTTTATGACCCTATCTCATCAGGCTCCTGTTTATCTAATGTGTCACCCTTTAAGTCTTATGTTTCACCCCAGCTGTTCATGTTTTAACATTTAAGGGCTTTATGACTACTGTGCCTGATACTGTAGCACTGAAGGTCACTAAGCTGACTTTACTATTAGATGGGTTTCATTTTTATACCAAACGTGATAAGGAAGAGTCACAGTGAAGTGTGTTGACAGGATCAGCTTTAAATGTTGTATGTATTAAATGACTTTGCTTTCAGTTGGGCGTCTCAGTACATGTGGGACTGGAAATCTCATTAGAATATATAAAGCGACAGATTTTGTGGTGCCAGCTGTGCTCTTGGAGCCTGATATTGTCCCTCATATGAATACACAGAGAGTATAGTTGCATATTCATTTGGAGGTTGTCCTACAACTGTGTCTAGAGCCCACTAACAACAGCCATACACTACCCTCAGTGCTTCTCTGAGTGGTTAGTAATGGCCTTAAAGTGCCATTTTATATAAAATTAAAACTTTATTTTTTTAATTATTTTTTTCTGGTAGGTTAACACCACCTCCCCAACCCTCCCCCCCCAGTTAGTTATTAAAATTTAAACTTTTTAATCACTCAGATGAACTGGATAAAACAAGTCAAATAGGCAGGTGAAATGGTCTGCAACTGTCAGAATTATTTTGTGAAAACTTGATGAAACAGGCTAGTTGGTTAAAATCATTACAGGAAAAGAAAACAAAACACTTTTTTGTTGTCTCAGATGCCTTGTGATTTACAAAACTGCTATTGTTGCAGTTAGTGAATGTGTCCAAATGCCATGGGTCATTGAAATAACATGGAGAATACATTATTTTTTACCAAAAAGTATTTTAGAAATATTGTTTTCTACACACAGGTATAAAAAAAAGATGGCATGAGCCTGACAAGGCACATACGCCAGTCATGTTTCACATCTACTTGAAATTTTACATACAATATTTTACAGTCAGTAACAAGATACAAAATAAACCAACACTTACTTAAGAAAATGAAGGACACATGGTCCCATAACTGGATATAAGAGAGAGAAGACCTTTCAGATAATGTAAAATAAGCAAGCAATAGTTCAATCTGAGAAATTTCTACACCCACTACTCAGTAGTTTTGTGTGACCCAGCCTAACTATGAAGATTAAAATAGAAAGCTACCTCTCTACAGCTGGGTTAACTCAAAATGCAGATCTAAAAGCAAAAATAAATGCTAGAGAACAAGTTTTCTTTGGTAAAGTTTCCTAGGTGCTGGGGAAGATGTCTTTCTGTGTGTGCGCTTCCACCCTGCTAGGGCGGAGTGCTTCGAAACATTCCCTAAAAGGGAAGCAGCTGTGTTCCACAGTTCACCTGACCTGAGCCCACTTGCTAACTCTGCTTTGAGCACGCTGAGGGGAATGACTCAACATGACACACAGCAGCCTTGGGCTCTTACATTTAAAGATACAGCCACTGAGGGAGGTGGTAATAATGTTTGTTTCTCCTTGTATTTAGAGTACTCTCCCGGGAGATGGAAGATTTGGGTGCTGTGTCCTCCTACGTCAGGGGATTGGTGTCAACATTCCTTTCATTCCAGACGAGCAGCCAGAAAACGAGGCTGTAGACCATGCTGTGATAGGGAAGTGGTGCGGCTGGATCTGAGCAAGAATAATTAAGCTTCAGTTGTGAAACATGAATCCTTATCGAAAGCACCTTCCCACCTGTTCAAAAGTAGTTTCTCAGTCTGTAGTAGGGGTAGGGTGTTAGGCACATGCTTCTTTCAGCAATTAGAGCAACTCATAGGTTGCTGGATGTTGTAGGTGTAGCTTGCAGCATCCACGTCCCTTTCACGCCTAGGGCAGGGAGCTTAGATAATCTGCTGAAGGGGTTTGGTATTACCCTAAGAATTCAACACATGAAGCCTCAATGAAATAATGCACCTCAGTGGTCTGGGTCCTTTCATTTCTCTGAGTAGCAGTTTATGGGTGACTAGACAGGCATAAAGAAATGACCGAAGCAAAAAAGTTTGTACTAGTCTCATTAGCTTTGCATTCTATCTGTGGATTACAGGTTACTAATTGGAGAGCAACCTTGTTTATCCCCGTAGACCATTAGATGTGAGATCATTGGCTAACAAAGCAATTGTCTGTCATTATTTAATTAAGGAATAGTGCATGCATGGACACGACTTGCACATATGGGAAACTTGTCCAGGAGGTACGATAGGCTATCATCATGGTCAATGACCATCTGCTTAAACAGAAAGCAAGAAATGACTGAGCAGATGAATGGAAGACGAGAACATGACTTTTTACTTTGCAGGAAGTTCTCCCAGTTGAAAAAAAAAAAAATTCGAAGTAAAGATTAAAAAAAAAAATCCAATCAAATTTTCTGCAGAACTGGCTTCATTGCTTTGTAATCCAAAATAAATTGTTTCGATGTTGAATATCTGAGTGTTACACACTTGTGATGCTAAAAATGGTAAATGTTTGAGCTGAAATAATTTAAAAATAAACATTGTAAATAATTACTAGGTGAAGTCTACAACAGAGGGAGTGCTAATGGTTATTTTACCTAAAACAAAATTCAGTGGAGCTAGTGATTTGTGGTGAAACATGCTCCTTTAAATGAGTTACCTTTTCCAGTGACAGAATAAAGTATTCTGGGGAAAAGTTCTGAAGTTTTCTACTGCTTGATAAGCGGTGGGTAATGCCTATTGAAAGGACTTGTATTCATTGTTGACGCTCTAAATTACCTTCAGCCACATCGGAAAATTTTTTTTTCCTCTCTGAAAAGCTGTGTGAAATAGATGTGATCAATGCACAAGTGAGGTCAAGAAAGTGAATAAAATGTGAAGATGGCTAAGGTTAAATGTAAGGCGCATGAACCTGGCTCTCAGAGAACCCATAATTTCTGTGGAATTCTGCTGTGGTTACATCACTCGATACTCTAAATCTCAGAAGTTTTATTTTGCATATAGCACCTGACTTTTAGAAGGCGTATGAATAGGCATCTGCTGTCAGGCAGCAACTGGAAGGTGAGGGACCTTCAATTTAACGATATAAACGATGGAACATGAAGCTGTGTTTTGTACAGTAACAAGCGCTGTATTCACATCATTTTAGTTTTACTTTTAGATTTCCAAAAGGCTTTCAGACAATGATTGTTCTCTTTTCTAAGAGAGAACAACTTCAGTTAATTTTTGGTTTGGTTCCCTTGGGGAACAACCAACCTAAGATTTTGCAAGTGAGGAAGCAATGTTTGAATGGTTACCGATGATGTATAGAGTAATTGCCAAATTATGATTTAAAAGGTGTCATGCTTAAAAAGCTTCTTGAGTGCCAGTGGGTTTGTTTCAGGTGGCTGAACTATTTACTGCAAAGCAAAAAGGCCTAAGTGAAAGTGCTCCAAAATGGGTCTTAGGAATGCGAATCTAGAGAAACTTCTCAGAGGCTGTGCATCTGTAGCATTTACAGCACTTTTTAAAGCAGTGCTTTTCATGGCAAACACAGCAGGTTACACATTTGGGAAAAGAAGACCAAGAAGTCCTGACTTGTACTTCCTCAGCTGTAACAAATGCAGCCACAGTATATATAACTAAAGCCCTAAATAAATGATGCAGTTAATTAAAGACAAAAACAAGCCTATTGAAAGTGGAGGGAAATGTTGAGGATTTCTTGTTTTACATGATCTCTGTATACAATAGAACATGTGCTAAAGTGTTTTGTGATTGACTGGCGTTTTATTTGTTCCTTACAAAAATGGAAGACAAGGAGCCTAGTGAGCAGGAACAGGGTTTCTATCAAACAGGCTGGCTGCAGCTTGGAAAGACACCATCACTTGCTGATTTAAGAAATAAGTGAAACAGAGCTCAGCAGGGACCATCACTGAGCCTGTGTCACCCTCTCTTTTGGGCCTGCACAGCTGTTCACATAGCCAGTCAGTGAACCATTTTGGGGAACTGATCTGGCAGAAGAAACCAACATCTT